GACTACCACTTTCACCACCACCACCACCACCACCACGACTACTACTACTACTACTACTACTACTGCTACTACTACTACTACTACCACCACCACCACCACCACCACCACCACCACCACCACCACCACTACCGGTAATTACCGACTGCTACTACCTCTACTGTTGCTATATAGTCGTCACACATCAGGATGTATAGCCGCAGAGCCGTGAAGAACCTTTTTGTTCAATCTCAAGCCAGCCCGCTGCAGTAGGCTTTCCTCGTGGCGAGGAGGAAAAGAGCCTGCAAAGAGAAACAGCAACTAAAGCGCTGGAGACCCAGAAATCTGCACCACCACCACATAGCACACCCCCAAAACCCTGATCCCTATAGCCGCGAGCCTGAAGCCTAAACCCGAAAGCCTANNGGCCCTAGTCCAAGTAGAAGCCAGCACAGCAAGGAGTCTCTTCAAACGACTGCACCCCGTGGTTCAGGCCAGATTTGGGTTTACGCTTTAGGCTTTAGGGTTTAGGGTTTAGTGTTTAGGGGTTTAGGGGCTTAGGGGTTTAGGGGTTTAGGGTTTAGGCCTTAGGCACAAGGATTTAGGCAGTAGGCTTTAGGGACTTTAGGGTTTACGGTTTAGGGTGGGCGCGGCTCTTGAAGGATTTTAGGCTTGGCCGCCTCGGTCGTTGGGTTTAGGTCTTTGGCTTTGCGTCAGCTTTCCGAATTATGTATCAAAGCATTCCTATCCGAGAAAATATCATGTCATGGCTTAATCTTGGATTTCGAACCTTACAACCCACACCAAAATCCCGAAACCTTCGAACTATCAGCCTAAATCGGAAACAAAGCCCTCCCACACCTTATCAGACCCTAAACCCTATTATAAACCTTCTCAGCCGTGGTTGAATGGGGGTACAGAAAAGAGCCCGGCCGCCAGCAGGATTTTGTCGAGAAGCCAAAGCCTGTCACTAAAGCATCGGCTTCCGGCCTGTCCACGGACGTTGCGCCCACCAGGCAGTGGCCATGGCGAGAGCCGGCCGCCATCCCGAGCAGGTCCTCCGTAATCTGGCACTGCCGGATGATGTTTTGGACCTGTTCGCGGGGAGAGTGCAGAAACGAGAGCTGCAGGATCAGTGGGTCGCCCACTGCTTGGGGGTGCTCGCTGCTTCGCGGTGGACAACGTTGCCCGCTCAATAGGGCTTTCGGAAATGCTTTGCTGTGCATCGAAATGAGGCCCTCAAACAAGAGGTATATCGCCCTCTCAAGCCCCCGCAGCTTCAGCAGCTGAAGCTTAAAGCCAAACCGTGGCGATCGCAAAATTAGTTGGCGATTGATGGACGTTGGTTTTTCAGGCAATGGGCTTGATTGCTATGCTGATGGGCTTTCTCATTTTGGGTATAGTAATTACCAGGCAAGGACGACAAGGGTCCGCAAAATACTCGTAGCCGTATCGGTATTGAATACATAAAATCCCAAGAGCCTTAACCCTAAACCACCACCCACGTCTGCGCAGACCATGATGCAGAAGATGCCTAGCATGAAGAAGGACCCTTGGAGAGATTTCGGTCGCTTGAAGAGTTGCGGGTTTAGGGGCTTCCAGTCCAAGGGTTTGGGGTTTGGGGATTTATATAGGGGTGTAGTTTAGGGTTTAGGGCTAAGGGGTTTAGGGTGTAGCGTGTTGAGGGGTTTTGGGGTTGCATTTCAGGGATCATTACCGTTGCTGAGTTATTGCCTGGTTCTTATCAGCAGCAACAGTCGATTGGTACCGATGTTATTCACATTGTCACTACAACCATCCCAGAACCATAAACCCTGAACCCTAACCCTGAACCCCTGACCCAACGCCCTTGATTGTTCGGCGTTGCGAGTTCATTGGCATCCCAAGTTTTCCGATGCCTTCCCGTGCTGCCGAAAGAAGCTGTTTGTACTTGTAGTGCGCGGTCGAGACGGTTTCGCATTTTGGGGTTTTAACTGGGGTTCAGGCTTCCTACACTTGAAGCTTAAAACCACAGCATTTGGTTTAGGGTTTTGGGTCTAGTCTAGCATGAGGAAACCGCCGAAGCATGGCGTGATCTACGAATACATGGGTAGTTGTCAAAATTATGGTCCCTTTTGGGGTACCCTAAATAACAGGTGCCGTATTATAAGGACCCAAAAAGGGACCATAATTTTGACAACCACCCACATAGCTGCACAGAAAGAGCGACGTGTCGGCGTCTTCGTGCTCGTGCACTTCGTTGGGCCACTCTCAGCGGCCCTGCGCCTCCCATTGCTCAATCTGGTCCTGGGTTTAGGGTTTAGGGTTTAGGGTTTAGGGTTTAGGGTTTAGGGTGGAACAGCAGGAACATGGCTACGCTGCCGAACGGAGCGTTAGATTCCAGCGCAGGACAGGAACCGTCACCCGCGACCACGTTTTTTCTGATGTTTTCTCATCACAAAGGCCCTGGGACTGGTGACTTTGCAGGCTGGGGTGACGTCCAGGTTTTTTAGGTTCGGCTTGGGGTTGAGAGAGCTGGGCACTGCCCAGACTGAGCAGGCAAGAGTACTGTATGCTGGAATTCGGCATGGTGTAGTCCAAGCCTCGTGGAGGCACCGTCGGGTGCTCTCGTGTAAAAGGTAGGCTTCAGAGAAATGAAGATGACCAGAAGGCAAATTACCGCTCAGACGGAGCAGGCCGTGTACCACCCAGGCCGTCCTTAGCATCCGTGGTGTGCCCATAATCCTTATCATCCACGTGTTTCTTATCTGGCAGGGTGTGCTGATTATGTTTTGGCGACCTCGGCATCCTAACGATCCCTATCAGCTTTCACCCTTGTCAATACCGTGGCATCCGTGTCATCATCATGTTTATCACCCTGGTCTTCATATCATCCTGGGCGTGTTTCTAGTCCTTATCCCACCCCCTGATACTCATCATCCTTGGTGTCCTTATGACGCCGATCATCCCTGGCTTCTTTGTATTACGTTGTGGATGGCAACAAGTACAAAGTCAACAGTTTTTTGGTGGTGGAAACAGGGTGTACCGTCCAAAAAGGCGCCCGAAATCACCCTAAAGATTAACCGCCCTGAAGTTCCATCCCAGGAATGGGAGCACACGGTCAACTCTGCCGGCAACCCCAGACATCATAGAGGACGCAATCCAGGGACATGATGGGCTTGGGGTTTCGGCTTTATTGTTTCACGGCCTGGCTTTCCATGATTAGGGTTGCGGGCGTTACAGTTTGATGCCCAGGGTTTGGGTGTTGGGCTGGTTCCAGGTCTACGTCGGAGGGTTGTTCGATCCAGGAAGGAGTAGCCTCAATGACGTTGAAGTTGCACAGCGCTTGCTGATCCCGAAGCAACTTTACGTGTATCATACCCAACAGAAGCCGATGTCGCACCATGGTCCTTCAGATTTTGCATTACAATAATGAAATATCAGAAATATACTGACCCCACAGCCCTAGAGCCAAAAACTGCAAACCCTTCAGCCAACTAAAACCTAGCCCCCATGTACCCACATAGGGATCCTGTAAAGGGCTCCTTCAAGGGTTACTATAAGGGTTAACAAAGGTGCTTAGGGATGTTTGGTGTTTAAGGATATTTGGGGTTTAAGGGTCCATGTGCCCAAATAGCAAGAATGTGTATATCAATTTTTATGTGTGTGTATATATCTATATATATATATAACAGTGGCCTTCAAGTAGTCCCGAAATAGGTACATCGCGGCCAAGGTATCTGCTATTTGGGTACATGGACCCCTTCAGGAAAGGTAGGCTGGCGCAGCAAGCGAGGTTTCACGTACTCAACTTGCTGCTTACAAAGTTCCCTAGAACTGTACCTACTAAGCCTCGTATCCCTTTGCTTCCAGCCGGCTTAAATCCCTATAAGTACCTGCAAGAAACGAGACTTGCAATTCGAATGCCAACAAAGCCAACAACCCTAAACCCAAAACCCCAAAACCCTGAACCCTAAACCCTAAACCCTAGCTTTAGCTGTCGCTTTGCGGTATAAGGCCATGCTGCAGAGCAAAAAGACCAGCGTCGGTGAGCAGCAGGCAGACATCCTTCCATCCTGGATGAGGGGTGTAGTTTTGGTTTTTGTTTGAGGCCTAGGGGGCTCTTGATGGATCCTCAACGCTGCTGACTTCAGAGCTTTAGTTAGTGAATCCGTTCCAAGAGAAGTTTGCGCTCACCGAATCCCTCAAACGCCTGAACACTAGCATTCTGAAGCACAACAGCCAAACCTCGAAGCACATTTCGGGTGTTTTTTCGGGAATTTCGGGTTGACGATGAAGCGTTGCCGGAAATTTGGGGTTATGGGTACGGTAAGTCATGCACTTGTAACCCTACTTAAATACTACTTGCAGGATCATGGGACTTAGTAAGTAAGATTATAAGTACCCTAGTTGGGGTTATAATTATAGTTACCTTATTTATAAGCCTAGTTACTAAGTCCCATCTTGAGCCTTCAAGTAGGGATGTTCGCTGAATTTGTCGATGTTGGATCGGGCCTTCGAGTTGACGTTTCATCTGAAGCCGGAGGTGTGTGTTCCCAATGGCCCGGCTTGTGGTTGAGGGTTTAGGGTTTAAGGTTTAGGATTTAGGGTTTGGGGGTTTAGGTCTTTGGGTTTGGGGTTTGGGGGTTTAGGGTTTTGGGGTTTAGGGCTTTGGGCGTAGAGTTTGGGGTTTAGGGTTTATTTAGGGTTTAGGGTTGCCCACCTTCAACTGGACCTTTGGAAGGTGTCCGAACAAGGACTGGCAATCTTAGCAGCTGAAACTTGGCCACGAAGGATGAGAGGTGATTAAGTAAGCGCCTTAGAAGGTAACTAGTAATTAGGCTTCTGATTGCCTTCAACTTACAACCCCAATTAGTTAAGGTACTGTACAACGTACAAGTTCGGGCCGGTTGAGGCAGGGTTCAGGGTTCTTGGGTGGAGGGGCGTAGGCTTAAGCCTATAAGTTTCAAACCTAGAGCCCGAGCCTACCTGTCCATCCCAAAGCGTACTGTGTTAGGGGTTTGCGGCTATCCCTGAATCCTAAACTTGTATCTCAAGTCCCTGGATCCCTAAAATCCAAATGCATGGCCTAAACCTGTATGCTGCGCCGGTGCCAGGAACTTCGAGAAACCATGGCCGCTCGTCTGCACCTTCCGCCCCACGTTTTTTCATAGGGTGTAGGGTGTGAGGATTTGGGGATTTGGGTTTTGCGGTTAGGGTAAGACCCTAAACCCTAAACTAAGAAACTATCGCAGAGTTGTAAGTGCTTGCAGACTCTTTTCTGCAAACCCCTTGAGCCTTAAAGTGGGGTGTAGAGAGAGAGAGTTCAAGTTCAAGGGGGAGGCCTAAACCCTGAACCCTAAA